CGTGTCACCTTGAAGCCATGTCGACGGCTGAGCAGTTCTCGCTGCTCGGGGACGCTCGCGATGTGTACATGACCCCGGCGCCGACCGGCGAGCTGGCCTCGGACGCGGAGTACTTCAGCCCGGCACACTCCCTGCCCCCGGGAGCCGGGCTCTACCCCCTGGCCGAGTCGTATGGGTTCTCCTTCCGGAACTTCTCCTTCCTGCCAGATCGGCTGTCTTCATCGGCGCGCGCCGGGGCCTCGGCGGCTGCCGTGCTGCCGGAGCTCGAAGGATCGGACCTGTCCTCGCGGGTGGACTGCCTCTTTGGCCTGAGCACCGACATCGCGGGCGGCAAGTTTGTGCTCCTGCGCGGTGCGTTCGTGTGGCCGAGCATGGCCCGGGCCTCTGGGCACCCCTTGGGGCCCTGCCCATTCGGGTTTCCCCCCCCCCTCGCCCCTGGGCCGCGAGACCCGCAGCTGACCACCTCCCCCCGCCTCCCGTCTGCCCGGGCCTTTGGCCGCCGATCGGCAGGCTGCACCAGTCGCATTCTCTTGGATCTGCTGGCCTGCCGGAAGAATTCCGGCACCATCGCCGGGCTGTGTCAGCCGGTGGCCCTGCACCCGGGCCAGGAGAACAGCCACGCCGCCCGGCAACTGTCGCTCTCCTCGACGCCGGAGCAGGAGGCCGACGTGTGGGCCCGGTACCAGCCGCACGTGGGGCACATCTCCACCGACGCCCACCTGGCCATCGGGCACTCGCACCAGCGCCTGTCGCAGGTGCTGCTGGCCACGGCGCGTCGGCATCATGGCACGCCGGCTGCTGCGCGGGCTGCCGTGGCCCACGTCCTCCGGGCTCTGGGCCTGCAGCACCTGGCGGCCCTGTGTCTGCGGGATTGCGACGTGGCCGAGGTGGCCGGCACCGGGCTCCCCGGGCAGCGCTTTGTCTCGACCATCGCCGCGTCGGCCATCGACCTGCCGGACATGGATCACCTGGAGCAGCTGGCCTCCGGGGACAAGTCCCTGCGCCCGGCGCCGCTGCCCCTGCGCCTGGGCCTGCTGGAGCTCAAGCTCCTGTGTTTGGCTCAGGTCATCCTCCAGCGGGCAGGTATGTTCCCCGCTCCGCTTCTCTGTCTCTTTCCCTGTCCCTCTCTCTCTCGCTGCCACTGGGCGCATGTCGCCCACCATGCGCCTTCTGCTGCTGCCGCTGCTGCTCACCACTCACCCCACACCCGGACATTCTCTCCCCCTCCACTCTTGACAATAGGTGTCATTTGCATTGAGCGCTTCGCCGCCGGCCTCTCGCACTCGGACGCAGTCACCTACTCGATCATCTTGCGCCGGCTGGCGGCCCAGGGGTACACCATTGTCTCGGAGCTGGACGACCTCCAGGCGTCGGTTCTCTCGAATGCCGATCAGCTCCTGCTCTTCGTGTCAGGGAAGTTGCTCTTCTCCGGGGCCCCGGGGCCCGGAGCCGAGGCGCTGGCCGCCGCCCTGGAGTCCCTCTACCCGGAGCATGTGCTCGCATCGCCGGAGACCGCCGCCGCGGCGCGTGGATCCCTGCTACGCGACGCGGGTGCGTGCCCTCCGTGACTGTGCGGCTCGCGGGACAATGTGCACGATGCCCTGCCGGTCACTGACCTACACAGGTGTCTACCTGCTCGCCCCTCCCTCCCTCCCCCCCCCCCCTCCCTCCTGCCCTGAGTAGACCTTCTGGTCGAGGGGTTCCTCCCGGCGCTGATGTCCCCTTCCGAAACCCCCTCGGCCATTCAGCAGATGGACCTGTCGAAGGCCCTCCCCGAAATGGGTGCCCTGGCGGGCGAGGCCCCGGGAGATGGGGTCTCCCCGTTTGCCGGAGCCGACTCGCTGGCCTGCTTCCGGGCGCCATACTGGTGTGTACTCGGTCTGCCTGGCTGCCCGGTCGCCCTTTCGGGCCGGCTCGCCCCCCTGCCCCCCGGGCCGGCGGTCCCGCTCGGCCTCTCGCTTGCCATCCTAACTCACTGAGTGCAACCCCGGCCGCTGGGATCTCTTCCCCCCCCCCACCCCCCCCCCCCGACCGCCCCAGGCGCCGGCGCCCGGCCCTGCGCAGCCGCATCCCCTTCTTGCTGGGGCTGAACATGCTGGACCAGGTCCAAGCGCGGCTGCACCTGATCCCCCTGTTCCCCGTGCTCACGGTCTTCCCCCCGGCCATGGCCTTCTTCCTGTCCATCTTCTACGACATGCGGCCGGATCACTCGGACCAGGCGAGCGCCCGGCTGGCGCAATTCTTCATCACCCTCAGCCTTTTCTTGGTGGTGGTGCCGCTGCTGCTGTCGGCCGGCCGGTCGCCCTCCGGCTGGAACCCCGGGCACCGGTTCCTCTCGCGCCGGGTGGCCGTGCGCCAGTCCCGCCTGGGGACCGACTCGGCGTGGCTCTTCACCCTGAGCACCCTGCTGGTGGATGCCCTGTTTGTTGCCATGCTGGCCGTCCTCTGGGTGGTTCCGGTCGTCTACTCCCTGCCGCTCTACCACTGGCCCGGCATCTTCGGACAGTACTGGCTGTCGACGCTCTTCATGGGCCTCTTCGGTTTGGGTCTGCTGGATGTGCGTCTTTGTCTT